TTTTTTAAAGAAAGAGCGCTGTACAGCCAGAGTAAATATTATTTTGTAGCAACATAACGGTATATCTCTGCCCGCAAACATCTGAATTACCTATACTACACGATTCGAGTGCGATTTCCTTTATTATTATTATTAGAATTATGAGAAAAAGCATGCTAACAATTAAGTATTATTTTCTATAGGCCTACATCAACAGCGATTAATTTGAGCGATGATGATGAATTATTTTACGATGTACTTAGGAAATTTTATATTTACTACGAATATTTGAAAACATAATTACTGAAATGTTTACTAACTTAAGAACCTGAAGCAACAATGTGGTTATGTGCACGTCAGCACGGCATTGATTTGATAGCAAAAAAAGACTCAACTTGGATTGAGTTAATGATTTACTTAAATACTTCGTTCCAACATTCGAAACAAAAACGCGAACATTTTTCAGGTATATGAAGGCTCTCTGTTTATTTTTTTAAATATTTTATTAATTTTATTTTCACTGCATAATAAGTAAAATCACAATACACGCCTTAAACTTATTTATTTTTTTAATTATTTATTCTTAGCCAATGAAACAATATGCAAATCAAAATCCAAGATGGCAAGGAATGACCACAGTTATAAAAACAAACTTTGGCTCAGAAATGATTAAAAATAACAATACAAAAATATAACATCATATTGGAAATACAGCAATAATATAGCATCCAAACCAAAGTTAAAACATTGTTTTTGAAATATTTAAAAAAGAATAGATATGAAAAAAAAATTATCAAAGTTTTTTTGATTGATATTTGATGTACTCGTGCGTCAAGAGGGCGCTGTTCAATCTGCTCTGCCTGGTGCTCTGCGTGTGAGAGTGAGAGACACACATCATGTTGAATATCAATCAAGATGATAATTTACTATATTGCAGCTTGAAAACCATTTTATTTTTATAAAAGCCTTCTGTACGTACTTATGAGGAAACTAGTCAAGTATTCATATTTTTTTAAAAATGCGAAAGCTTATGGTCACGTTTACAAGATAAGTAATAATGTAGCCCAACCATGGGTACAGCATCCCTAGCTAGGCTAGGCCTAGGCCCAGTTCTAGCGGGTATGTAGGCTCTAGCCTAGGCCCCCAGGCCTACTCTCTGTGCTAGGGCTTGGGCCTACAGTAGGCCTAGGGGCGCTAATGCACTTTAGTACTGTAACACTTCTATCTTCAAAACTTGTCTTTTTACCTACTGTGTGCTCCTAACAATATCTTACGATGTTTATTCATTCAGATTCTGCTTAATAACATCGGATTTTAGCATTTTATTACTAAAAACCACGGCTTTTAACGCCTAATATGGCTCCATCCGTCATCTCCAATGGCGAATTGGCGATCGAGCCTAATGCTGTTGCCAGAATTCAAACTTTATGATTTGGTGTTGCCAGAATTAGTAAATCAAAATGAAGCTTTAGATATTCAGAACTTGATGGCTCGTGAAAGAAGGGAAAAGGAAGGCAGCAGAACATGCATACATTATGAAAGAATGTATAAATAAATATATGTAGGTCATAAGTTCAATGTCCTAAGTGTAATAATGGCCATGATTGACAAGTGATTGTAATAATTTTTGGGTCTAAACATAATACAGGTCCTATGCATTTTAGGGTCTAAATGTAATAAAGGTTCTAAGTGTAATGATTTTTGTGCCTAAATGTAATAAAGGTCATATGTGTAATAAGTTTTGGGTCTAAATGTAATAAAGGGTCTAAGTGTAATAATTAGTGGGTCTGAATGTAATAAATGTCCCGTGTAATCATTTTTGTGTCTAAATATAATAAAGGTTCTAAGAATTTTTGGGTCTATAAAGGTCCTAAATACAGTGTAATAATGGCCATGATTGACAAATGATTGATTGATTGTAATAATTTTTGGGTCCCGATGAGGGGTCAGATTTCCTAATACAGTTCCTATGTGTAATACTTTTAGGGTCTAAATGTAATAAAGGTTCTAAGTGTAATAAGTTTTAGGCCTAAATGTAATGTCCTATGTGTAATAATTTTTGGGTCTAAATGTAATAAAGGTTCTAAGTGTAATAATTTTTGGGTCTAAATGTAATGGTCAGATTTCCCCGATGAAATAATAGCTTGTCCCTAAATGTAATATGTCATTATAATATTGCACTGTACCAGAACAACGATAAACAGCTAAAAACACAAACAACAATTTATGAAAAGGCATCGTTATAACAAAATGAAAAAAAAAAAACCTGGCAACGAACAGAGCTGTCCTTAAAATTGGATAACAACCTGGCAATTAACTATTTATAAACAAACATCGTGAGTCGCTACCGTCATGAATCGCTGGAAAAGAACGTTGTTTTTAGTAATAAAATGCTAAAAACTGGTGTAATTAGTGAGAGAACAGATGAAAACAATCGTAAGATATTGTTAGGAGCACACAGTAGGTAAAAAGACAATTTTTAAAGATAGAAGTGTTACAGTACTGAAGTGCATTAGCGCCGACTATTCTTCACCACTATATTGTTGGAAAAAAATTTAAAAATGTTTTTATTTAAACATCTGAAACCAAGATTGAAAAAGAAGAGCCTATCTAAATAGTATTGATATTAGTATATGGAAACTCATGACTTCAAATTTTCTACAACAGGAGATGGCAGACATGGCACAGTACTCTTTGACAAAGAAGCATTCGCTGCTAAGGTAGAATTCAGTTGATCATTCCTCTCACATTTCAGTGATACTCAGTACTGTAATAAGGCAACACTTTTTTTATACCTTGTTTCCCAAACTTTTTGTTTCAAAGATCGTCATCTGAGGAGGATGAAAAAAATATTAAAATATAATTTTGGTTTTATATTTAGCAAATATTTTTGCCAAATATATCCAGATGGAGGAGAAAAAAATAATAACATTTTATTGGTGAATGTAAACAGTGAAGTAATGGGATCGTTAAATGTTTTCAATCTACAGTATATAATTAGGAAGAAATATCATCTTATTTTTGAATATTTCAAGGCAGCAGTGGGCATACTGTAATAACATTAAAGAAAAGATTTCATACTTTTCCTAAATTTTAATTTTTACATGGCAGCAAGTCATTATTATTATTGGTACTGTACTGTATGAGGTGTGTTCACTAAAGTCTTGCCTAATGCGTCAGCAAGCCTGTAAGCCAAGGGAGATCTTAGCTTTTGAAGGAAACCTCCTTTTTCTTAAGTGCCCTTACCAATTACATGTTAAGCTATAATGGGGTACTGTATTATAATAATAATCATCATCAGGATGTTATTAATAGAGTACTCATACTAAAGCTCTGTCCAGACTATCAAACTGTCAAAAACAAACAAAACTGTTGTATGGCCATATATAGCCATGATGTGCCTATATTTGGTCATGATGTGATGTCATCTATCCATGATGTGCCTATATATAGCCATGATGTGCCTATATATGGCCATGATGTGCCTATATATGGCCATGATGTGCCTATATATGGTCATGATGTGCCTATATATGGTCATGATGTGATATCTAGTCATGATGTGCCTATATATGGTCATGATGTGCCTATATATAGCCATGATGTGCCTAAATATGTTCATGATGTGCCTATATATGGTCATGATGTGATGTCATCTTGCCATGATGTGCCTATATATAGCCATGATGTGCCTAAATATGGTCATGATGTGCCTATACCGTATATGGTCATGGTGTGATGTCATCTAGCCATGATGTGCCTATATATAGCCATGATGTGCCTAAATATGGTCATGATGTGCTTAAATATGGTCATGATGTGATGTCATCATGACCATAGGCATGTATGTTTTTTTTTCTGGATGTAGCTTTAACCTGTTTCCTTTCTTTTAAACTTCAAACCAATGGCCTCCATTTTATAGATGTATTTAGAATGGGACATAGGAAATGGATTACTCAAGGCATGTGAATGTCATGACCACTGACCCTTCAGGGGGCTTAGCCTTCTGGCCCTTCTGTGTCCCCCCAAGGGCCATAGGTGGTTGCAAGCCTCTATCCATTTAGCTTGCTCATGACCTCTGCTGCTGTGCCCTTCATACATTGGACCAAAGACTTTGAAACACATCATCAGTCACCAATCATCATCAATCATCATCATCATCATTGTATCATTCATTCTTTACACATTTATATCATTTACTATTATATTGCAATTGAAACAATAAATTACTGATTGTTTTTGTTTGTGTTTTTCAGTTGGTGGACATACCAAAAATATTGGAATCCTATAAAACAGTTGATAAGAAAACATTCTTCAAAACTGTAGTTATAATGTGACATGCCTAAATATGGTCATGATACATTACATCACGACCATATATAGGTACATCACAACTATGGGCATACAACATCTTCACACGTCTTTGAATTGTAGATGCTTGGTTGTTCAAATGAAGGGGAAGACAGTGGAAGTGGTAGAGAGGAAAAACGTTCTCCGCACAAATACAAATAGGTATGTTGGTTCTATATTAGTAGGGACCTTAGAGAACAAGGAGTTGCATATTATTGCTATTTATGTCTGTTATCAGTGGTGAATTCAAGGGAGGAGGGTCAAGCCAGCCTGTTCCCCCCCCCCTTCTAAATTTTGTACGGTTATAAAAAAAAAAACGTGGAGAACAATAGAAAATTATATTCAAATATTAAATCAGAGAGTGTCATTTCCAGCAATCTAGAGGTAGCATAATGGTACAATTTGTTCTGTCAGCCCCAACCATGGTAGACATGAGATTGTATTGACCCTCTTTTTTTTTAAAGTCTTCCCCTGGGCCCCCCTCTGTTTCAAATTCCTGGATCCACCACTTATGATATAACATCTTGCATTTTACCATCATCTTGCATTTTAACATCATTTTGCATTTTACCATCATCTTGCATTTTAACATGATCTTGCATTTTAACATGATCTTGCATTTTTAATGGCAAAATTGTCATATAAAACCTGATAGTGTGACCAGGACTTAACAAGATAATTTCTTTTCAGATAGCAACAACTGGAAACAGATCTTTGAAGAGGTTAGTAGCTCAGAGAATGAGGAAGGGGAAGAAGACGTCAACATCATGGAGGTCGGGGATTCCCAGCAAGGCATGGAGGAGTTCAAAGTACAAAATGTCACTGATGCTCTCAAAGGATTAGAAGCGGCTGTAGATCAAGATAACACAATCACAGAAGACAGCATGCAGCATGAGAGTAAGTTCTCCCCCGCCCCCTTCCATCAGCCCCCACTCCATTTCTATACTCCTAGATACACAACTGGTGACATCACAACACGTGACACACCTTTGTTACTGAGAATATAAATATGTTATATGTCAATTTCTTGTTTTAGTCACTTTTAGTCCTTGGGCAGATTGCTTATAAAACAGTCTTAACGAGTAGTCTTAACTCCTCGAATAAAGCCAGCTTTATCACGGTTAGACTGCTTTGAGTATTGAAATTCAAATAAGCACTCACTGGAAAAGTAAAATTGAGGGCACAGTTACACATACGTCATGCTTGTCTAATCCAATGACGCAGGGTAGTAGTGTGAAGCGCTTAGAGGCCTTTTGCCATTAAGCGCTATATAAATCTAACATATTATTGTTATATCAAAATGAACGTAAATAAACGTAGATTGGTTTTTACAGAAGCTGAGAAACCACACAGATATCAAACTTTTAGTTTTATGTGCTCAATCAAATCAAGCTTTTCATCTAGGCCTATCTATCTAGATTCTAGTCTATTTAACCAGAGACCTATCTGCCATACTGTAGAGTTTTTTAATTGAGTGGATGATACCTCATAAACCAGCTCAAATTTGCGTAGAAAATTGCAAGAAAAATAGGAGCGCAGAAAGTAAATACATTTTTTATATATTAAGATTAGGTTAAAGCCTAATTTTTGGCAAAATATGCACGGAAATTGTCCCTTATTTTCCAAAATGCACAGACGGATTTCTAGGCTAGATTTTGCGCAGATTATGTATTCCCCACGCAGGCCTCACTATACAGTCTGGCCTGTCTGTAGGCTTAGGACTTCACTTCTTGAATTGAAAAAAAAAACACATTGAATTACCGTAATTATCACCAAAATTATCTAACTAAAATCTGTGTTTTACAGCATGCAGTGGATAAACTTAAGCCTGGTTCTCACGAGAGCCCTAGTATCCAGATCGGGAGCTAACCGTTAGAACCTGCGTGAGAACGCCGATCGGTTTGCAGTATCCGGATACCGCTAACGGTTAGCAAGCGCTATCGGTTAGCAAGTTGAGCGCGTTTTTATCATCAACCAATCGTACGCGTTTACACTTTCCAGTTTCTTATTGGCCAGTGATTCGGTCATCATATTTTTGGTATCCGGATCGGGATTTTCTCGTATGGACGCACAGCAGCTAACGGTTAGCAGCCGTGTGAGAACATAGCCATTGACATCTGGTTCATGTGGGAAACACAAGTGTCAAGGATAAAATATCCATAGAATTCTACGGTACGTTGACTAAATCAAACTACCCTTCAGCTGTGTGAAAAATACAGCACCCTTTTTTTTTCTTTTTTTAATTTTTTATTCAATATAATTCATACATACATATAGAGCACCTGGATTTTGAAAATCACTTGGCTTAAATCTAGTAAAAATCCCAAATACTGTGGCAGTGCTGCCTGCTAGGAGGTATTCTGTGTTGCTTTGAACTTTAACACTGCTTTTATGATTGTAGTAGTAATTATGTGTGTAAAACTATTATTACACTATTAGCTTAAATTTCTCCCTCCCCCAATTAATTGCCATTTTCTAATAACAAGCCCTGCTATATAAATGTATGTTTGTGAATATTACTATGTATAGTGTAACTAAATCTTTGTAGTAGTTGTTCAGTTCTAATTGTTGATGGCTGATTAGATTAATAATTGATATGATTTATATAGCCCCTTCCTACAAAATGAACAAGACACTGAATCTCAACAAATGCAGCAAATGAGAAATGAATTTAAATAATTGCAGTGTCAAAGCCAGAGGCTCTTTGACAGCCGGCATCCGCTCCATCATCATCTTTCTTTACTCTGCAGAACCTCTTTTGAGCGTACTCTGACAGATGTACAATTTATTTGATCAAATGTCAGACACAAATTAACTCTTAGTCTGA